AGGCATCCATGGAAAAGGTCTCCTCGTTCTTCCTGCACTTGGTCACCATCTTGACGCATTCGTCGTTGAAGATGATCGCCTTTAAGGGCATTGGGAGTTGCCAGCTTGAAGGTGGCGAGATAAATGGACGTCTCCAATGTACCTATAATTTTTGAAGTATTCATACTATAATAACATCAATTATATATGGTTTAAGCACTTTCATATTATTTTCTGGAGTAACCTATTAATCTAGTGCTTAGTGTCAGTTGTTGTTTTCTGCATGTTTTTGGTTCTATAGAAAATTAGTATCTAGAAAGGTCAGAATACTCTGGTTATTTAATATGACTTTTTCTGGAATATATCTAATTTTTGGGCGAAGGAATCAATTCAAGGCGGTGCCTGAGGGCCCCACATGGCTAGGTGGCGCGTCCAACCCCCAAGGCGTGCTATGGGCCCGTGTGGTTGCTCCTTATGGCAATTGGAGTCATTCTTTTGTCGCAGAAAACTAATTTTGGGAGAGCGAAAATCGTGTAAAACAATCAACCCGATCGGAGTTACGAATCTCCAACTACAAAGGGAACGATGCTCGGCCTTAGAAATAGTTTTGAAAAATGGAGAGACAAAGATAAAAGATCCAATCCCAAATGGACTCTCACCCCTCCAGGAACCACAATGGCCAAGGATAGGAGGAGAGAACCTCTCCCCATCTAGGGGGGCCCATGGAGGAAAAAGCTGGAGGGGGAGCCTCTCGCCCCTTCTCACCCAATGGCGCCGAAGTGCCGTTGGGGAACCATCCTCGCGGCATACATCTTCATCAACGTCGTCGTCTTCATCGACATCTCCATCACCTTCTTCACCTCTTTTCAGAGGTCTACTCTTTTGCAGCCCGCTGTAATCCGCTACTTGAACATGGTGCTTTAATGCTATGGTTTATAATCCAATGATTTGTGGCATCGCTATTATGTCTGAGTAGGTTATTTTTGTCCTATGGGTTGATGGTGAATTGCTATGATTGGTTTGAGCTCCTTGTGGTCATGTTACTGTCATTTGATGCCCATCATTTGGGTGAGCGTGTGGATCATTCCAGGGGGTTAGTTGTATATTGATAGAACTATGCATATGGGGGTAGAAGTGACTGAAACCTTGCCGGACCATGGAAATTCATACATACAGGATTGAAGCGGGACCAATATATCTTAATGCTATGGTTGGGTTTACCTTGGTGAACTTGTTAGTAGTTGTGGATGCTTGCTAATAGTTCCAATCATAAATGCATAAAATTCCAAGTAAGGGATGGCATGCTAGCATAGGCCTCTCCCACATACAAACTTGCAATGATAATCGGTTTAGTAACTTAACTAATTGCCTAGATACAATTCCACACACTATACCACCACTATTTCACACATGCTATTTGTAATATATTGTATTATATTGTATCTTTACTTAGGTAGCACCGAACTTTTATGTTTACGTTCTTAGTTATCTTTCAAAGCTACCTCTTTATACCCGCAACATAGTTTTATTTCTTATTTGTAGATAAAGCAAAAGCTTGGTGTACGTAGGGTTGTACCAGTGAAAGATAGGAGCTGGGTGAATATTGATCTTACTTTAGCTCCTTGTGGGTTCGACACTCCATACTTACCACCTACATCATTGGAAAGTGCTACTACAATTCCTTGCACTTGGGGATTATCAATACCCGATCCTGATTTGGTGAACAACCGCGAAGGGGGGCCAACCCTGATCAAGCGTGAGCCTATCGTTGATCGTCCGGACCATCACCCTCCAGGCGCAGCCGGTGTTTGTCCTCAGCACAAATTTCTATGGGACAATGGTCAAGTTCTCGGTGAACTTGAGTGGAATCGGCAGGCACTCCAATTTGGGTTCAAGAATGACCTTGCAGAAGTGGATTGAACTAACGTCCTCATGGAAATTGCCATAGTTCTTCGGCCTCTTGCGGGCACTACCGAGCTCCACCACCGGCTGGCCTTTCTTCTCGGCCAAAAACCTCATTGCCCTTCGAGGAGTTCTGTGAAGCAACCTGGTACACCTGCATATATGAACAGAAGGTCAATGAAGGGACATATATGACCATATGAATGAGAGGTCGGTGCATTCATTCATCCCACACACCCAAAACCCCTATTTATCTACCACATCATTGCACCATCTCTTCCAACCATATCTCTTTCTCTCCCTCTCTCTCTCTGGGGGGGTGTCTTCTACCGCCTCCTCTTTCA